TATCTTTAAAAAATATTTATATGAAGTCTTGTGTATTTAAATTCGTATTAAAGTCTTGTTTCTCAGTCTTACCAATAAAATTAGATAATTTAAATAATAATATAACACAATAATACATTAATTATGTCATAAAAAGAACTAAAAAATAAAAAATAATTTAAAAAATCAATTAAAAATTAAAAAAAGAGAGCTTATGCTCACTTTTCAAAAATAGAATAAAATTTTAAAAAAATTGAAATAAAATTTTAACTAGATTGAGTCTTTTATTTATTTATAATACTTATTGATTTATATTTTGTTTTTATAACTTTTTTAATAACTAAATAGATTTGAATTAAATATTTTAAAAATAAACTTTGATTTATATATTTTAAGAGCATAGTAGATTAGTCGATAGTTCAAGAACTAAATAAATAATTTGACAACAATTTAATAATATAAAGTGTAATAAACTTCTTCTTTTTTTTTAATTCTAACATAGTATCATAATTAAAACTTAAGCAATCAAGTATCTACCCTAAGTAAGTAGCACAAATAATGTTATATGTACCAATAAATGTACTAACTAGTATACTAACAGATGATGTCACATAATTTTAGAGGTTTTAAGTATTTGTAATTTGTATAATAGGTGAGGGTCAGTAATAATGACATAACACTAGTTGGTACACTAGTGTGTACATTAATTGGTACATGTAGTATCACCGAAGTAACACATGCAGGAAAATATTACCCAAAAACTGCACTGTTCCAGAGGATAGATTGTTTACTATTTCAAGTCGCCTTCAAGTAAGCAAACCAAACTGATAGAAACCATTTTGTTGTGACATTATTGACAAATGCATTTCACCCAAAAAACTAACCCAAATTGTTTGTTAATGCGTCCGCTAGAGCATCATGTTTTGTTTGCTAAATAAGTTTAGGAAGGGAATATGTGTCAAAAAAGGATGATTGACATAACACAAAATTTTAGAGGTTTTAAGTATTTGTAATTTTTATAATAGGTGAGGGTCAGTAATAATGACATAACACTAGTTGGTACATTAGTGTGTACATTAATTGGTACATGTAGTATCACCGAAGTAACACATGCAGGAAAATATTACCCAAAAACCGCACTGTTCCAGAGGATAGATTGTTTACTATTTCAAGTCGCCTTCAAGTAAGCAAACCAAACTGATAGAAACCATTTTGTTGTGACATTATTGACAAATGCATTTCACCCAAAAAACTAACCCAAATTGTTTGTTAATGCGTCCGCGAGAGCATCATGTTTTGTTTGCTAAATAAGTTTAGGAAGGGAATATGTGTCAAAAAAGGATGATTGACATAACACAAACAAGAAAAAGGCCAACTTCATGACAAAGCCAAGCAACCAACTCCTTTTGGATTTAGATTAGAAAAAAAATAAAAAATAAAATAAGTGGTAAAAAGTTGTCCAACTCAGCTTGTGTTTCATCATGTTAGGTACCCTTAAACTAATATTATATTATTATTATTTAGTTAAAAGGATTATTATTGCAATGTATTAACAAACGGTTGGCCTATACAGCTTAGATGATTAGGGGTTGTTGGATTGGAAAGATTAAGGCTAGACACAATGACAATGCTTTAGAGTAACAAAGACTCATCTTATTACAACTACATGTGAAATAGCTTAGAAATGGGTTTTTTACCGAACCCAAATTCCATGAAGTTGTATTTTCCAAAAAAAACTTCATTAAAATAGTATTTTCGTAACACAGACTTCAAATATAAAAGATTTCATTGAAATTGTGTTTTTATAACACATCTTCAAATCTAAAGTCATGTTTGCACAAAACAAGAAGAGCAACGAAAATATGTTCAAAACTACTTAACTTTAAAATCACAAGGGATTAGTGCAAAACTCAGCCACAAAAAAAAAAAGAAAACAATATGCACCATACCACAACATATATAACATAAACACATGTCACAACTTTTCTCACAAAAAATAGTTAGTAACAATTATACTATACCCCTAAATTTCATTTTAGGGTGCACGCCATAAACCTGACATTCTTAATTTTACCATAAAGTAACATAACACATCACATATCCCATATCACAGTGATATTTGTAATTTTCTTATGATAGGTGGTGTACAAAGTAGTATTTTTCCATAAACTAAAAAGAACACCAATCACCAACCCTCACGTGTGTGGGGGTGGGGGGAGAGTAAGGGTCCCAATCAGGTCTCTTTTCCATAAACTAAAAAGAACACCAAACACAAGGCCTTGTGCACTCTAAGGCCTCGTTTGGGAATCCTATTTTTAGCAAAAAAGTCAAAAAAATTAGCTAAAAAGCCAATAATCCATACCAAAAAGTCAAAGATTCTCTTTTCTCTCTACTTTTTGCGCATCTTTTCGTAAAAAACTAAAAAGTCATCCCAAACATGCTAGTTTTTTTTAACTTATATTTTAGCCAAATAGCCAAAAAATTACTAAATTAACCTGTTCCTATACGAGGTCTAAGATTAGTGCTGTTCAGCAAGATAACTAAAGTGACAGCACCTTTTTAATTGGTGGTCATAATCAATCTACTTTGCTTTACTCTCAAAGGCACTAAAGTACATGTGCCAGACAAAAAAATGAAATCTTACATATTAAATCAAAAAATTTGCACAAAATATAGGGCCACTACTACAATTAATAAGAGAGCCATCATAACATCTGATAATGTAACGTCCAATAATTAAAAGGTTCATTATATGAAGGCTTTAACCTGATGTAACCCCTGTGCTGGACCTACCCCCCCTCACACACAAACAAACAAACAAAGATCTAATAGAAAACAATACAGAGCCTTTGTAAAATCAAAGCATACAAGCTAGAAGCTTTAAGTAGTTCCACGAACTACCATAATAGGAAACTAGAGGAACAAGAATATAAAGCAAAAACTCCACAGAAAAAGTTTCAACGCTTCCAATCAATTAAAAAGCATGTTCTGCTGTTATCTCTATAGGTAACCCAGTAGGCTGATTTTTCTGATTATTATTTTATAAAAATTTACAATTTATTTATTTATATAATTGGGTAGATTTTAAACTTTCTACTCAATTTAGGGGTAAACATGTTTAAACACATTTTTTTAATGAAACAACCTATAAGCATGATGTTTAACAATTCTAGCAAAACAGTTTAATCACATATTTATCAAACATGCATTTCTGAAATGTTTTTGCAAAACACACATTATCCTAATCTGGGAATAAAGCTTAAATAACCTAGTTATGTAATCAAGTTAAAAAAATATCTTAATTAGGGAAATGAGCAAACCCAATAGTACAACAGACTTCTGTCAAAGCAGGGTTTAGAGAGGGCAAGATTTACGTAACTTTACCCCTATTTTGGAGAGGCAGTTTCCGTGACTTCAACTTGCAACACCAGAGGAGGTCCAGGACAATATTGGCAAGCCTAGGCAATGTACAAAGGCACCATAAAATTATACCAGCTGATAATAGAGCAGAAGAGGGCTGGTTTGTTTTGCTAGCACAGTAAAGATCTATTACATCAGTTAATTTTGGGCTTTATTGAAGCCACCAGATGACAACAGAGCAGAAGAGGACTGACCTGTTGTGCCAGCACGGTAAAGAACAAAAGATACATCAGTTAGTTTTGGGCTTTAGTGAATCCAAACCTAGTAATGATTTCACTTGTCCCCTTGTCCATAGGGACCCAACTCCTGCTAGATAGTCACCCCTTTCCCTCTTTTTACAGCCAAGTAGTGGATGAAAGAATGGAAATTACAGAACAGGACAGTGAAGGGCCGCAAAGAAGACAAGTAGTAGCAAGCACCAGCATTTCTTAGCCCTCTAACTTTTCTGTTATATTAGTAAAGAGCTGTGCTAGCATGCCCCTTTCTCTAATAATAAGCTAAGTAGAAAGGCTTGGGGACTATGGGAATGGGATTCATTCACTTACATTCCAGCTAGCACTACCAAAAGCTCTGGTCTTAAACACCCCTACTACTGCTATGAAGCCTTTCCACAGGTTGTAGAGTCACATTTCCCACAAAATTCCTTTTCAAGTCCATGCCTCATTTTTGGAGTTTAATTTGCAGTCGAAAAATGGGTAAACAGTAACAAGACTACTAAGGCTAGAATCACAAGAAGCCCAAGTGAGAACGATGCAAGGACTAGTGAAACTGCCAAAGAAGCTAATATATATTTCTGGAAGGAATGAGTTTCCCAACCTAAATTGATCAATACTTAAGTCTCATACTATAATATAAAAAATAATAATTAATACTTTATCCTGACAGGCTCAGCCAGATCTTTTCACCCTACATGCATACCACAAAATGAAAAAGCAAAATCAGAGGGACAGAGAAGAAGAATGAAAAAGCAAAGAGAGCAACTATCACCGAAGATAGGTTGGGCACGCATACACTTCCACCAAAAGTTAGTTCTAATAGCAATTAGAGCAGTAGGCTTAGTCTGTATCAAACAAGCTTTCACACAGCAATATGAGATAACCACCACGAAAATGATTCCATAAAAGAAGGTACCTCAGGTATTTTGAACAGAAATATCTGCAGCTTTTACAGAACAACAATTCGAAGTGACAAAACCCTTGCAGGATTCTGCAACTTATATTATTCCCTAGATTACAGGTGATCCAGTATAAATACTAAAATTGCATATTCCTGCTCGATTTCTAAGTTTCAAGTTCTTACTGCTTATAGAAGCTACCTAGAGGGCCTTTGATAATGTTGGTGTAACCAGACTGACCATAAATTTGCGATTTTTTGTTTTTTATTTTTTGATCAACCTAACTATAGCCTTGTAATGTAACCAAATTTCGGCATATCCTTGATACAATTTGAGGAATTGACAGTTGTGTTGTTCACAAAGAGTGGTGCATCAGAGAAGTAACCCCATAGCCATTTAATCAGTAATTGAGGGTAAAGCATCTGACATTTAAGTTGCGCTATCACGCAAACTACTGAATGAAATGGACAATTCTAGCTATACAACATACAAAAAAAGAATTTCTTTCATATTATAAGAAAGGTGTATACACAGAATATTCCCCACTAAACATAGAGACTCTTGAACAGAAAACAATTCGTTGAAACCTCCGCTTAATATTTAACCAATTGGGGTTTCACTATGAGACCAAGGGTTCAAGTCATGCCAATTGTAAGATTTCCCCCTTCCCAAACTACGACCTCCTCCAATGTACCAAAAACAAATCTCTCCCTAATAATTAAACAAATCAGAAAAGTAGATGAGCAGCATGCTATATGAACTGTCAAAGGTACAAAGCGAAAAACCAAAAACAACAACAACAACAACAAAAACATATACTATAAGCATGATACAGGAAAAAGGTTCAATAAGCTTGTTAAACACAACATTTGTCCTAGGTACCTATATGGCTTCACCAACTTCAATAGATAGTAATCTGCTGCATAACCATGGTCCAGGAAGCATCAGAAAACACCTAAGGTTCGTCATCATAGGGTGCATTTGAAGCAGGCAATGATGGGAATACAAAAATGGGCTTTCCATTGATTTGAAACTCATCCAGCATAGAAGCAACAGCAGATTGATCATGCCAATTATTTCCAGTCAAGTCTACATGTTTAAGTTTCCCTAGATAATACCAAGTACAATGAGGTCAAATCCCAATATTCCATACATGACATATATGGAAAATTTAATATTTTAGTTTCCTAACATTCTAGTATTAATCTCTCTCTATGCAATTGTGATCACAAATTGGATTTCATTTAAAAAAAAATAAAAATTGAAAGTCCCATATTAAAGGATGACTACACACCTTCAATGCCAAGTAAAGGAAATGTAATTATACTTTAATATGTCCGAGAATGCCTTCACAAGCATTTTGAAACATGATAAGCATCAGTCAGCTTATTGTGCAACTGGAATTTAAGACGGAGATGCAACCTTACGAGTCCGATGATAAGCAGATGACACCTCAAGACATATTTTGAAGGCTTAATTTGTAGAAACCACAAGCAGGTAACACAACATTCAAATAAGTATTTAGAGTCCATATTAAGAGGTTTTATTTAATACATGCATATATTGGGATTTTTTCTACTTTCAAGGTTAAGAGAATCGATTTAAGGTGTAACATGTAACTGTTTAAAAGATTTAATTTGAGATGTAATTTCTACCTATGTTAAGGAGGATAAGTTTTAAAAGGTTAAACTCCTGAGACGGTGGTGTCCAGTCACATCATTTTTATATGAGCAAATTCTTTTAAACAGCATACATTTATAAGCAATAAATGTATGATCTTAAATAACATGACAAAATAAACCAAGATGAATGATTTACAATCAGCACAAAAGGTGCCTGTTTGAGAAAAAGTAAATGTAACCAATTTGTAAAAAAATAAGAGCAATTAATTAATCTTAATGCTCTCAAATTATTATAAAATTTTGACATCAAGATCAACATCACTCTAGAATTTAATGGGCCCAGCATTGTTAATATATATACAAAAATAAAAAACACTCCATATTTGAAACATGTACCTTTTGCAACTTTCAGGGTAGAGCATATTATTGACAAGGATTCAGAAGGCATAAAATTATAGCCTGCATTGACTGCAACAAGTTCTGGAGCCCGTGGAATGAGTGTTGTCAAGAACTTTGCAGATCCAATCCCTCCGCGGTTTTTACTATACAATATTAATCAACAAGTATACGTTTCAGAAATAAGCTACAACACAAGTTCTGAAAAAGTCTAGGCATGAGTAGAACCTCATGTTGATGTAGGCAAGCTTCAAATCTTCTCCTATTTCTTTCTGTAGTTCCAGAAAGCCAGATGAACCAAGCCCAATATCTTCAATATCCAGTGCTTGAATACCTGTGCCCAAAAATTTTCCCAAAGGTGCTCCAACTTTGCTGGAGGACAGCAATATCAGAACCAATACATCTGGAAATGAAATAACAAGAGTGGAAGTCTAAACTCTGTAGAATGAAACCACATAAGCCAGACTAACCTGCCAAGGCCATTTTCTCCAATAGATAGAGAATCCAGTGGCCTCTTTAAAGTTGAAAGAACACCTACAAGTTGACTCACTCCATTACATGAAAGCTCGCAATTTTCCACTTTCAAATCAGCAAAGTGAGAGTCCCTTTCAGACATCTCAACAAAGTAGGGGATTAAACTCCTGAAAAGTCCAGAACAAGTTGTAAGACTGACTGAACTGGACAAAACCTTGTCCCAACACAACAACAAAAAAGAACATATCACTATTTTCATTAAAATATATGAGGAATGAAAACTCAAACTAACTTGATTCCCTCGTCCTCAAGAGGATTGTCACTTATATCCAGAATTTTTAAGGTAGGCATATGAGCCAAGGCATTTTTAAGACTCTCTGAATCATCTTTGTGTAGATTATTCCCCCTGAAAACAAAGAAGTAACCTTGTCATGCACTAACAATGTTTGAAACAGAAGAAAAAATCCCCTGAAGTTGAAATTGGATTTGCAAGAAGAAGTTTGCATTCTTTATTTCCTAGGTTCCTAACTCATAGTTATAAAATAGAATCATGAGCATCAGGGTGACACGAAGGGCATTCATGCCACAATTATTTTATAAATGAAAGCCCTTCATTATGCATTCTGTTGTTCACAAGTCTATTCACAATAATCCCATGAGTTCATTGTCCACAGAAGACACAGAGATTATACATCAATGGGGAATACCTTAGATTGAGCACACTTAATGATTGCAATGACTTTCCTATTCCTGAAGGAGACTGGGAGCAACTTGAGGATCTCCATCTAAAATGAGAAAGCCAGCCAGAAATCTGCAATATTGCAATAAAGTTTTATATTGGTTTATTGTTGTAATAAAAAACTCAATAGAACATTAAATAAAATGCATTACTCACATTGTTTTCTGAAAGGTCCAGGACGGATATACCAGATGCAGTGTCAAGGAGGGTACTAAAAACCATTTTTGCAAAATTCTGACCAAAATGGTTGTCACAGAAGCTTACCGAAGACAAGGACCTGCCACCAAAATGTGATGAGCTTTAGTAGTTGCAAAAACTCCTCTGACCAAGTGAAATGCAACCTGATGTCCATGATGACATATATAGTTTAACGAAGCTTAGGCACATATCACATGTTCAGGTTCTCACTGAACCAGCAGAACTGCACTGCATAAGGCACTGGAAGAGAAAACCACAATATGCAGAAAAGTGAAGGGTGCTATTTCTAGAATTTGGATGGTTAAGCTGATCTTGGTTGTCTCCCCATACACGCTGTTAACCACTGTCCTTGATTTGGTCTTCATCTTTATCCTTTTTGCCCCTCTCTCGATGACTCTAGTGATAACAAAACCCTCTCTTGAAACCAACGAGTATCACTAGTTCTCCAAGCCCTACATTACTGGTTTTACACTGCGTCTTTAAACCTATTCAATCCCTAAAAGTACCACAAATCCTGACCAACCTTGAAGTTCTTAAACTCCAGTAGTATTATGCCAAACTGGTAAAAAAGCAGAAATAAAAATATTTAACAAATGAATCCTTCTGTAATTTGTGACGCTAAATCCACTACATTAGATATGCCATTTGATGCTTTATGCGATGGAAAAGCTACCCTATTTGAATAAACATATATACCCTGCTACATCATCCTTAAAAGTTTCACATTTTTTTTTATAATAAAAAGCAAAGAAAATTTTATTAGAGAACATGCCAAGGGGGCACAATCTCCAACTTTTTCTTCAGAAAAACAATTGTATCATGCTCCCCCCAAGTTGAAAGCAGCTCTAATGGATTGCTGGGAATTAGAAATTGAACATTTCTGCAATAAAATCTTCAAATGATAATGAATAATTCTTGAAATTTATTATTTTTTTTAAAAAAAAAAGAAAAAGAAAGAGAGCATGCTTGCTGTCATGCGAAGTTCAGTCAGCCGTGGACTACATTAGCAAAAATGTTATATCAAGCTTAGGACAATATGAAACTGGAACTTTGTTTTATGCTCGTAAGGTTGTAATATACATTGACGACCATACAGAGAAACAATTTATTCCGCTAAGCTATTTTGTTGCTGTATTCTCATATAAAGAAGAGAATTAGCCCAGCAGGAAGAGTGTTTCCTCACAAAAGTAATCAACTTGAATGCGAATTATCATCAACCTAGCAAATCGAATATGACTCCCCACTCAAGCAATTAAAACTTCCAAATATATGACCAAAGTTGAGAGACACCAAAGCCAAAAAATGAGAGTACCCAGACACACCTTCCTGATGATAAAAAAGATGCTAGTCCAATAGGCAATGAAAACTGATTGGTTTCAAGAAAGCTTGATGTCTTGATTGAGAAGTGTTCTATTACATGTGTTTGAAGATCCTTCACGTGCAGAGAATCACAAATTGTATTCACAAAAGTGGAAGAAAGCTTGCAGTGAATAAATTCAAGTGATTTTAATGTTCCTCTGTTCTGGTTCAAAAGTTTGCATAATCCTTCAACCTGTGAGATTTACATGGTAAACAATAAAATCATCAGTCGGAAGACAGCAATCAAGTTAACCAAATTCATTTAAACAGTTGAAAATGTATGATCAAAGGGAATTTTGAATGCCGTTGACATTAAGGCTAAGTTTGGCATCCTTTGAAAAAGTCAAAAAGTCAAAAAGTTACTATCCTATTTAAGTCACATCATCTTATTTAAGTCACATCACCTCTCTACCACATCACTTCAAATCCAACCCATATTTCATAAAAAGTCAAAAAATGCACTTATTTAGAACATCCCAAACAACCCCTAAATAGTTCTGCTTTTCTTTACTGTCCAAAATTATTTAATTCTTTTATGACATATGAAACAAACTTTATTGGCATATAAGAATCAAGTTATCAATGTTAAGGATCTTCTGATCGTCCTTCTCATGATGAGACCTCGGTGATCTATTTATGAATGCCTCTAAGCCTTGCAAATGCCCATTGCCAAATTCTGCAAAAACCTTAGCCACATAATGGCAACACCCCCCCCCCCTTTTCTTTTTCAGGGATAAAAACCCTACTCTCACCCAATTTCATCACCACAAAACTGCCCCCTGTGGTGACGACGGCAAACCTTGACCAAACCAGATCCCAAACGGCATCACTAAACAAGCGTACGATCATAGTTCACCATGAAGAACCTCTACCAACACTGAACAAGCCCAGCTGAGATCATAGTGACGGAGCCAAAGAACTCATCGCACCCCCTTCCCCTCTCAACATTTATATAATGTATAGATTAATTCATTTAGCAAATTCCGAGACATGCATAACCACAATAATAAAATTTAAGCAATTGTAGAATGCTAATTCTTTCCTTTATTGTTATATAGGCATAATAAACTACATGCTGAATTGAAAAAAGGATAAAGGGGCTGCAAAAAACGCCCTTCTTACATTGAAACCATTTTGCCTATTGGTGTTTCAAACTCACAGGTTTAAGAACAAAAACAAAACAAAGCATCATTTTTCACACCATTCTGGAAACCTTCAATTGGTTATTCCGCAGAATAGAGTCAGCAGGTACTGAAAAGAAAGAGATATGCGTATTTAAGATTGTTGGAGGACAGAGAACTGACAAACAAAAAACCATGGCAAAGATTCATAATCATACACAAATGGGCCACTAACCACAAGTATGCATGGGCTAGTTGGCTCTTTTTGTTTTGAGGTAGCTCAGCAAACCAGAAACAGCTTCAAGATTCCTAGTTCCTTCTCATTGTTTACCATTGTGCTTGTTTCAGTTGTTAAAAGTCACTTAATTTTATTTCTTTATTCCAGAAGTTCTTAATTTCACCACACAAATCTGCCGATATATATATATATCAATAAAAAAAAATTGCCTAGGCTTACATGCTTTTTGGACTTAATCCACCGTAGTTCCAGGCCTTGCAGGTTACTGGTCCTCAATAAATGCTGCAAAAGAATAGTAATTAGAGATACAGAAAGAGAGGTGGTGTAAATTAACGGCCAAAGTTATAATAAACATTAATTTCCAAAGCTTTTACCGAAAAAAAAAAAATCCGAAGCTATACCTTCTCTGAAAGACTCCTAAAACAATTCATTCAAGTCGATTAAAATTAAATTTTTATTCGAATCATTTCAAAAATCTTTTCAGAAATTAACCGAGTTTCAACTCCACTTGGCAATATTAAAAAAGTTAAAACATTTTAATTCTGTAGAGTATAAAAGATTCTTGTCCAAATCTGAATTACAGCAGGAACATAAAAACTGAGAAGCAGAAGCAGCAAAATACTTTCTTCCGGTATTATAATACCAAAATGTAGTACTTCGAGCATGCAACGTTGTCCCAATTTACTTCAATTTTTTACAAATACTAGAGAAATGCCCACTTTATGATCTTCATTGGACAAAAAATCAAAACCAGAAAAGGCAAAACAGACAACTTATTCTAAGATAATAATTCTCAGTTGTCAATTGCATATATGATTTTCTAATAACCACAGAAGTGATATTCAAGTGAACAAGTCGGAACATAGAAGTATGTAATAACTTTGAATTTTTAATGTTCCACGACACACAGAATTGTGAATACCTAATAAGTGGAAAGCTATAGATTGTATACAAGGCAGGAACAGGCATAACTAAAGGGACATTTTCTTATGTATTATGTGCCACATATTATTCTAAAGCAACTGTTGTTTATCAAGTTGGCATTTTAAATTTCTGACATCATTATGCATTTATTAAAATGTGCAGAAGGTTGCTTCCAGCAGGAACAAGAAAACTAGAAACATGAATTTTTATTGACCTATAATGTTTGTCCTTCCTAGATCTTCAATTAATCATTGAAAACTTATGATCATTTGGTTCATCCTATAGCTTTTGTAGTCATCCTTTGCCAAATAATAGATTAGAAAGAAGATAAATATATAAACATAACTGAATCAAAAGGTAAGCAGGCTTTTATCAAAATAGACACAAAATGCTTGGTGCTCGTTGACAATGGAAAACTTCAGATAAAATAAACTAAACTACGCCCAGTTTAGTTCACAAAGATGCTCAAAAATTGAGTTTCTGAAAGATGAATTGGGAAAAAAACCCTATATATGTAGAGTAAGTAGAAAAACAGATTTAAGTAGCAAACTGCATTAATTACTTCAGATACACCTAATCTGACAGAATAGACTTTGACATCAGACACAAAAGTAAACACTTTCTGCTTTTTGTAATTATGCAGAAGTGCTGACATAAAATCATATTCAAATTGATTTAAGAGACATAACCACAAGAGACGAACTAACACAACATTGTTTGACCAGGATTTTCTCCCATCTATAGGATGTGTAACTTACACATGTTTCTGCAACACAGAGTACACTTTGAAGTCTCAGACATCTGCATGACAGAAAAACATGTTGCAACAACCTAACTCTTCAAGTACCCAAAAAAACCAGCAAAGTAGAAAAGGTTTGCAGGTGAACAAGGGTAAATGGCATGGTACAACATACTGTGCAACTAAGTTCACTAAAATGGTTACAAATTACATTGTTTATGATAGGTTTACGCTCTGTTACCAAAACTGAAATGATATGTTACCTGGCATAGCAACCAAACTGTTGACAGTGGTAAGACAACTTTGAGTAGTCGCCTCTAAAACAACTCGTCGGTTCTTCATAACCAATGGGTTTTAGGATGGTATCTGCGCAGATCAAGAACTACATGAAATTCAAGATTTTTGTGAAGTGTTTGTCAGAGAGAAGATGTCCTCCTTTCTTCCATTTGGTATGCTTAGAAAGAGAAAAGAGGGAACCTGCGAGAAGCTCTTCTAAAGTTCCTCTTTGGCCAAAAATAATTTCCACTCATATGATTTACACAGGCACATATAAAATAATATAAAATAGATGTGTCTATATATAACATTGCGCATATATATATATGTGTGTGTGTGTGTGTGTGTGTGTGTATGCTTGAGCAAAGTAGGTTAAAAAGATTGTTCAAGCTCTCTAAATCCTTTTTAACCCCTTATGGTTTTGGCCTAAAGCACTTACCCCTTGACATTTAAATGTATACAAAACCCCTAATGCGGTTTTGACTCATTTTGCACTTGACCTCCCTACCATAACTAATTTCTTCAAAATTGACGAAAATTGTGCCACACACCCTATTTTGAGAGTTGGCATAAAAAAAAATAAAAAATTGAAGTCAAACTCCAGAGTGAAAAGACAATTTTGCCTTTTTTTCATCTTCCCATTTCAAAACCCTAACCTAAAAACCTTTAACATTAACCCTAATCCACTCACCACCATTGCCACTGCCGCCACCCCTTGCCATGCCCTCCCTCCCTCCTAAGCCCTCCACCCTGGCACCCACTCTCATGTAGAACCAAACCTCTCCCCCCCCCCCCCCAAAACAAAATGTCGCAGATCTCCAACCGCCACCCCTCCATACAGAATGTCGCAGATCTGCAAGTTTTCAAATTTTTTTTTTTTTGTTTCCCATTTACTGTTAGGAGTCAACAACAGTTGTGACAAGCACCAAAATGAATGTGTTGTGTATTAAATGTCAAAATCTATATGTATATCTATGGGTATAGGTATACTGTTTAGTCATGGGTGATGCTATTGGGGTGAATGAATCTGGGTGAGGTGGGTTGAATATGGCGGTGGAGGTGATGACGCAGTAGAGAGAGGGGAAGACAAGATGCAGTGGGATGGGTATAAATGTCTTTGCATTTTCTGTTAGCAACGTTAACTTTCCACTTTAGACTGAACACGTGTGAGGGTGACTTACATATTTTTAAATGATATTGGGGTGAAGTGCTTTGGGGTCAAACCACAGGAATAAAAATATTTTTGCCCTTTTTTTAAAAGAGCAAATATAATATTAAAGCAAGCACCACCTTACCTGGAATTCTTACTTCACCAATACAACCATCAAAAGTTGGGAGCAAAACTATCTCTGCTGCTTCATCTAGGCAACTGTTTTTCAGGTCAACATAACAAAAGTGCTGAGAAAAGAGTGAATGTAATGAAAAGTAAGTGTTTTGGTTTCAATTCTTTTAATTCAATTTTTTGAAAATTGAGTTTTTTGTTTTTCATGTTTTTTTGTTTTTAGTAAATATTTTTATAATTTTAAGCAATTTTTTTATTTTTTTAGATGCACCTTACTTAGATGTATTTAAAAAGTAAAATATTTGTAAAAACATACTTTAAAAAATCAATAAATACATAATACGAAAAATATATTGAATTTTCATATTTTTTTTTTTTTGCATTTTTGCATTTTTGCTATTTAGTGAATTTTTTAAAGATTTTTTTTTATAAATATTATACTTTTTAAGTGTGTTTATGCTAGGTGTACCTAAAAATTAAAAAAATTGCTTAAAATATTAAAAAGATCAGCGAAAACAAAAAAACATGGAAAACAAAAAATTTCGGTAGCGTTCGGTAGAGTTTTAGAATTATGATTTGAAAATAAAGTTGTATTTTAAGTTTGTGAGTTTTGAAATTATGATTTGAGTGTGAAAAATTTGTTTGGTTATGAATTTTGAAAAGAGTTTTGAATTGAGTTTGAAATGAATGATGTGACATATGATATTTGATTCAAAAACTTACAACTCATAACCAAACACACAACCCAAAATTCTATTCAAAACTCAAAAAAAATTAAAAAATTCCAAAAACATTTTTTATTTTAAATATAAAATAACAGGTGCAAAAAACAAAAAAAATTAACACTATTCGGTCAATTGGCCGGACGTCTGGGGGACGTCCGGGGGATGACCGGGTAGACGTGTTTTGAAAAGTGGGTGTGGAATCAATTTTGAAAGCGCTAACCAAACACTACACTCAAACAAAGGGGTGGAATAAACTTTCAAAAGCTTTACCAAATACAACCTTCAATTTTCTGAAAAGTGAATCCTGAGTTATGATACCAAACAAGCTGATAATCTCTAATATTTCAATCAAATCAAACCGGCATACTTCTGTAAATGTGCTTCCCAGTACATCTGTTGCCAGTCATTTGTCAATTTACATTCTTCTACAACTTGTTTTGACAACCAATTTACTGCTCGGTTCTGCCTGGCAGGACCAGGCCACCGTGACTTATATAACGTTCTCCACACTGCATCAAAGTTCAAATATCTGCAAAAACATTAACTCTATAATTAGACCTGTTGAATGTACAGTTGGTGATTGAATACACCTTTTCTTTCAAACCTTTTGCGTTTTCTCTGATTTCCAAAGCAATCATTTGCAGATTCACTATCATGCCAGTTCTTAAATGGCCTGCACAAAGAAGAATTAAGTTGTCTTATTAGAATAGCTTCACATTTTTCACTACTTCTTTTGAAGTATATGGGGATGACCACATTAAACCACGAAGATAGAGAAAGTGAAAAATGATTAACTCAAACACAAGGGCTTTGAATCAGCATGAGTTTCAGAGTAACAAGAGCCACTGAGAAGTATTTGAAAAGTACTATATGCAAATTAAATTACTTGTATGTGTTTCAATTATGATTCCAAGACTGATGAAGTCACCACTTATGAAAAACTTGCTCGAACAGTCAAAGTAGTCAATAATTTCAAAAGATTTAACATGATAAGGAAAGAAAGAAAATGTCACCCATTGGAGCTTATTAATCCCAAGATAAGAACAAATACACTGAAAGTGTCTCTCCCTGTTCGATCTTTAAGTGTTTTTGATTAGAACAGGAAGACAAAATTAGAATGCAAGAAAAATAAGTGAATATATGTTACCCTGTTAAACAAGAAAAGAAAATAAATGGAGCCCTTTAGCCAATATTCCACAAACAAAGTCAGAAGGTAAGTAATAGGAACCAAACACAGGACGTGTAGCATGAGATTTAAAAATGTTGACTAGCTGCAAAACTACATCAGACAAAACTACTAAACCAAGCATGTATATGGTAGCAACATAACAGACACAACTGCTAAACCACTACGTGGCCTCTCCTACATGATTAATTTAGGACATCCATATGAACTACTTAAATTGTAGAACCCTTCAAATTTTACATTCAGCAGATTTAATGACTAAATGGTCCACAAAGCCAGAATCTCTTTATGAAAAACAATACAAACTTTATGGTTGAGGACAAAAAATTCTTAAAACTGATGAACTTTACTGACTAATTGTTAGCAGTGCAAAGTCACAACACCTAAATAAATAAAATCACATCCATTCTAATTTAAATTAAAAACCTGTGACACAATTCCAAACAAATATAAAACTCATGTACACAGATGTATAAATGAATCAATTTTATCTTTACAAAAACTAGTATATGTAATTAAGTGAGGAAATTAGAGTGAGTTTTTTAAACTGACATTTGTTCTTGTATCTTTTGCAAGGCCAATGGAGGTAAAAATGTCAGCAAGCTATCAAATAAATCCGATGGAATTTCATATACATGCGGTGGAAGAGTATCATCATCTGCAACCATATTTTAAGAAAAATAAAATTAAATAAAATATAAAATGAGAGAAAAAGAGAGAGAATAGTCATTCGAAAAATTACCGCTAAGAATTTCTTTCTTAATTGCAACCATACATAAAGTATACAGAGATGGAACTTCACCCATTCTTGAAAAAATGATCTGCAATGTTGCCAGAAACTTCAATTACGATTTCAACTCAAATTTACAAACAAGAATCAGAGAAAAAGCTATTACAACATCAAAAGAAGTAAATTGAACAATTGAATTGCAAACTAGGTTACCTTTCAAGCCATAGATTGATATTCTAGGGCATATCAAGTTTACCAAACAAAACCCTAGATTGCATCCTCATCGATCACCGTCAAAGCTAACCTATGTCTGGAAACCCCGCCGACGAAGAAAATAGACGCTAAGGGGTTGTTTGGGTGATCTATTTGAGTTATGTGATTATCAGTGAGAGATTTGTTATGCGACTATCAGTGACTATCAGTGGGAGATTGGTAGCCTCCGTTTGCGACTTTTTAATTTTTTTGATAATTTTTCTTTTGGGGTTAAAAGGTTTGATTTGAGGACAGTTTTTTTAAATTTTTTTAGTGAGATATCTTCTTATGAATTTATTAAAATACCCTTGATAAGATTTATACTTGTGATTAAAATATTACCAAAGTGCCCTTGATAAGATTTGTACCTGTAATTGAAATGTATTTGACGTCCACGTCAGCTTCCCAACTGTCCAAACTTCTTGTTGTTTTTTTTTTTTTAATTTTTTTCTTATTTTCGGTTTAGATTTGGCGTTTTTTGCTAACCTTTTTTTTTTGGGGGTTTTGATTTGGCCTATTTTGTTTAAATTTTTTTATTTTTTATATTTTTATTTTGGGTTTTATTTTATTTTGGTAAAATATTTATTTATTTTTTTGTATTTTTGGTTTGAATTTGATGTATTTTGTTTAAATTTCAATTTTTTTATTTTTTATTTTGGGTTTTATTTTGGCTTATTTTGGTAAAATAATTTTTTTTTTTTGGTTTGGATTTAGCGTATTTTTTTGAAATTTTTTTATTTTTTATTTTTTATTTTTTTATTTTGGGTTTTATTTTGGCTTATTTTGGTAAAATATATATATATATATATATATATATATTTTATTTTGGGTTTGGATTTGACGTATTTTGTTGAAGTTTTTTTGTTTTTTTGTTTTTTATTTTTTTATTTTTGGGTTTTTTATTTTTTTTATGTGTTTCATTTATTTGTAAATTACGTGGCGAATGGTAATTTATATTTTATTTTTTATTTATTTTGTTTCAATGAGGCATATTTTCTCGTTATTTTGTTTTTAATTTACGATTTTGTCATTTTTTTATTCACTCAATTTAATTTGTTTTTATTTTTCAAAAATGGATTTTCATGTGTTTTATTTATTTGTAAATTACGTGGCAAATGCTAATTTCTGTTTTTTTTTTTATATATTCCTTTTACTTTTGGATGAGGCCTATTTTTGTTTTCTTTTTCGAACTGGCTTTTCTCTATGGTTTTTGATTTTTCAGAGTTAGGCACGTCACCAACTGGAAGTGGGTATATTCTCGTATAAACACATACATATTGTACATGATGATATTTTTTAATACAGTCTGTTCCACATGTGTTACCAATGTTCCAACCCTACGAAAATTATGTCGACTATTATATATTTCCTAACATTCCGTTATTATGCATGTAATATAATTTGTCACGTATGCAAAGGCGCACCAATGCCATATGTGGGTCCTCATCCCTAACCATTAAACCATCCTCGTCATATTCAACTTCTGGTATGGCATTTACTATTGTTATTGTCTCTTTCTCGTCACAGATTGGGTGAACAGTTGTTGGATTACCTGTATTTCGCCGTATATAATTATGTAATGCCATTGACGCACCTACTAACTGAACTTGCACATTTGCAAAGTCATAGCGGGGCAAGTCTCGAATAAACCCCTATCGATTGTTCCAAACACCAAAAGTGCGTTCCACCACACTGCGTAATGACGAGTGAACTTTGTTAAATAATTCCCTTGGCGTGTTTGCCATTGTGTTCCGAGCAATATGTCGGAATTCTTGTTGGTGGTAACGGTGGCTTTTGAATGGTGCTAAGTAACCTATCCGGTTTGGATAGCCAGAATCGACAAGATAATATTTGCCTGCAGATATGACAACAATGTATGACACGAAAACCAAACATTGTGCTTCATTTTCAAGTAAAGCTATTTCCGAAAAAAAATGTATAGCCCTATAAATCTAATTCATGGCCATGTGTTACCTTCGTCAGGATGTGGGAATGGCATATTGTCATTCGTTAGTATCTCGTTGAATATGTGACTATCATGTATACTTCCTTCCCATCCGCACGAAATGAATATGAAACACATGTCAAAATCCACTGCGGCCATGATATTTTGCGTGTGACAGTATTTCCTACCGAAATATGTTGCCGCATTTGGTCCCGTAACCCATGCACTTACATGTGTTCCGTCTATTGTGCCAATGCAATCCTGCAAACAACCCACTTCTTTTGTTGCTTAAACAGGTAACAAGTGTTTGGTTTTTCCCATACGTCACCTTCAGTTAATAATAAAAACAAAATAACTGACATTCTTTATTTATATGTCAATAATGGTTTTCAGTAGTACCTTGAATGGTAGGTATTTCCGTCTAGACCGCACGTATGAATGTATATGATGCTGACTGTATGTGGGGCGGCAATGAACTACAGTGAACGCTTTCATGGAAGTTAATACGTTATGCACGTGCCGAGACACAGTCTCCCCCGAATGTTAGAACCGTTCTTGAATTTCCCGATTTTGCTTCCCTTTCAACACATAGATAAACATTGCAACGTTTTTTTCAACAGCTAAGCCATGTGGACGTTGCGGGACTTGTAACCCAAAATCATTTACTAATGTCTCACACAAGGCGACAAAAACTTCTTTTGGCATGCAAATATTTTCCTCAAATCGCCCCATATGGCCCGCATATAGTTTGGATATCCATGCATTCCTGGTCAGTATAGAATTACGACATGGCGTTTTGGCCATGTGTTTTGCGTACCATTTTGTCGCATACTGGCATGGTTGTAGAAATGTGCAGTTGTGTTCTTGTTGCACCTGGACCGCCATTTGATTAAACATTTCCCTTATTCCGTCATTGTTGCTTCCATCCCACGGATTCATTATGTCTGATGCGAAACCTACAAGAGTGGCACTCTGTCAATTAGTTTGCTTTCCTTTCATTGACTCAAATTATTTGGAAAATTACAATAAACAAATATATTAAAATTGGTTTTCATGTAAGCAATGTCGTCACCACTGTCAGTAGTAACGCGTAATGATATGAGTTTTACAAATTGGTAACCTGTTCACACTACAACAAATTTGGGATTTAAAGACGAAACAAATTTGTCCCAAAATATATATATTTCGTCACCCAAACTAATTACGACAAAAATTTTTCGTCACCCGTTTTGTCGCCAAAGCCTCGTCGCTAAAGGGTCGTAGAGACGAAAAAACAATTTCGTCATTGAAAATGATAAATTTGTGACGAATTTTTTTGTCTCAAATACACTCTGTTGGGAACATACTTGTAAGTAATTAGCGACAAAATATTTTGTCATTAAAGGAGAAATTAGAGACAATTATTTTGTCATAAATATAAGAAATGGAGACAAAATAATTGTCACGTTTAATATAAACGAAGACGAAATTTTTTTGTCAAAGAAGCTACCAATAGAGACAAAAACAAATTCATCATTAAAAATGATAAATTTGTGACGAATTTTTTTGTCTCAAATACACTCTGTTAGGAACATACTTGTAAGTAATTAGCGACAAAATATTTTGTCATTAAAGGAAGAAATTAGAGACAAAAGTATTTTGTCATAAATATAAGAAATAGAGACGAAATAATTTTGTCACGTTTAATATAAACGAAGACAAAAAAAATTTTGTCAAAGAAGCCTAACCAATAGAGACAAAAAACAATTCATCTCATAAAATGAAATAAATTTGTGATGAATTTTTTTGTCTCAAATACACTCTGTTGGGGAGAGAGAGAGAATTTAGCAAACAAAATATTTTGTCAAAAGGAGAAATTAGAGACACAATTATTTTGTCATAAATATAAGAATGGAGACAAATAATTTTTGTCACGTTTAATATAAACAAGACAAAAATTTTTTGTCAAAGAAGCTACCAATAAGAGACAAAAACAAATTCAATCATTAAAAATGATAAAATAATGTCAAAAAAATTCGTCACACATCGAGGATAATAGTGACAAAATGTGACATATTTTTTGTCACGACAAGCATTTTAGTGACGAAAAAAAAAATTCATTGACAAAATTAAATCATCCACCTAAGCGAAATAGAGACAAACAGAAACCTTCTTTAGGGAATGGCAAAATTTTGTCATAAATTTCATAATATTTTTTTCCAATATTATACTTATTTTATCAAAATCTAAAATTTTAAAGTTCAACAAATATAACACCCTGTCCATGTTGAAACCTGTTGAATATAACAATTTCATCACAACTTAACCTAACCTGTTATCAACACATTTACGAATTAACAAAATGAAGATATCCATTCATCATTACAAATAATTTCATCCTAATACAATAAAATAGTGAAATATCCACAAAATATCCAAAAGTTATAACTTGTTCAATTTTACCAAAAATCCAACAATAACTAGTGCAACTCCACAAAGTATGTGTATCCTTATCAAACAAAAATGAACATTTAAGCAAATTAGATCATTGTTGCACGTCAAAAATTGCACCCCAATCCAATCTGCAAAAAAATAAATTAAAAGCTTTAGTAATTAATTAATTATACAAAAGATTAAAAACATTAGTAACTCATCAATTTACAATTAGATCAATTATACAATTTATCCCTGACAGACTTTTTTTTCGAGATTATGAGAACAAAAAATTAATTTTAAGGCTAATTCACAAATGGTGCATCCCATTAATGTGCCGTAAGTTCATATAACTTATATTGGTCCATTTAATTCTTAAAGTGCAAGGATACGTACCGGTTTTTCTACTCTAACAGGGATTGACCTAGAACCACACCTGTGTTTTGTATACATCCTTTCTCTGTTCGCGATGTTACCCTTTGATTGCTCCTATAAGAAAGAATGACCAATATAATAATGAAATGTATCATTAAGACAAATATGTTAGCTTTTGATTGTTCCTGTAAGGAAGAATGAAACAATATAACAATGAAATGTGTCACTAGTAAAGCAAATTTAATGCTTGATAATAAAGAATTACATTGTTCATATCTATCCTTTTCCTATATATCATTTCAACTTAAAAGATGTTTCAAATTATTCACTAGTTTCATTCAATTCTTTGAAATATAGATTAGAGGACTTGTTGAGATTTCATTATAAGATGATTTTTCTGGGTGAAAAAAGAAAAACGAGTAATTTACACCGTTCACAATTAGGGGGGGCATATAAGCATGGGCAAGATAGATTGTGAAAAAATCCATTTACATTTCACAAGATATGGAACAATTACTGATACCAAACTCATATCCCTTTCTTTCTTCCACAATTATATCAAATCTAAAGTTCTGTCTTAATACCCTGTATTAGTTACTCAGCTAGTTTCTTACCATTATCATGAAACTTCAGACCAAACTCAAGAACAAACAGAAAATACAATTATAAAAACTGAAATCTTAGTTCTTTATTCTATGACGTGAAAGATGCATTTTAAGGAATCATAAATTAATCTCCTATTATGTGAGCCTTCCAATCCATGTTTAATAGTTTCCCTTTCTCATTTTGCCACTTATTTGGTTTTTATTATGTTTCACTTACATGCTTAGAGGATAAGGAAAAAAGAACACATGGAATTTCACAGCAAATTGATTGTGTTCTTTCTAGTTTTTTTGAAATCTCTCCCTATTCTAATCAAATTCTTTCTTCGCTGATATAATAAAAAAGATGAAAATGTTATCAGAAATTCTTTAGTGTTCCACTTTTTATCAATAAGATCTATCCACTTGGTAGGATCAACATCCTTCGGTGAGTGGTTTCTTGCATACTCCTCCCCGGGCTCTCGATGGTATCTCTAACAGCTGAATAACATAATAAAATATGAATATATGTACAAAGATATACATATCTATGTGTGTATGAATTGAAAGTAACAAGACAAAATATATTTCACAATGCATAAATGTATAGTACCTCATGCTCAAACGAATCATAGGATTCAGTGTCACTGCCATCTTCAGCCTCTGACAGTCGATAATCATCGTCATTTTCCTCAATTGGTATTTGTTTTTCCTTCCTTAATTTCTTATGTTGAACCGCAGCCTTCAAACAGGTTGTTATATTCTTCACTCCTAGAGCATTCATTCTCTCATGATTGTTATTAATTGTCTTCATTCTTTGTTTCTCATAGTTCATTACCTTCTTAGTTGACCAAACCAAGTACCGCAACTAAGAAGGTAATGAACTATGAGAAACAAAGAATGAAGACAATTAATAACAATCATGAGAGAATGAATGCTCTAGGAGTGAAGAATATAACAACTTGTTTGAAGGCTACGGTTCAACATAAGAAATTGAGGAAGGAAAAACAAATACCAATTGAGGAAAATGACGATGATTATCGACCGTCAGAGGCTGAAGATGGCAGTGACACTGAAACCTATGATTCGTTTGAGCATGAGGTACTATACATTTATGCATTGTGAAATATATTTTGTCTTGTTACTTTCAATTCATACACACATAGACATGTATATCTTTGTACATATATTCATATTTTATTATGTTATTCAGATGTTAGAGATACCATCGAGAGCCCGTTCACAATCTCATCATGAGGCATTGACCCACGCATCA